CAGACTCTGAGGTGACTCAACCCCTCGCAGGCATTACACTTCACTGAGGTGGAGTTGTGGTGTAATCGTCTCCGGCATACACAGCAGGTGTATGTTTCTGGCCCTGGGTTTGACTCGATGCCAACCCTGAGTAGGAGAATACGTAGTGAATGTAGCCCTGTGGACGGACAACTTCTGAGATACTTCGCCGACCTAAAGGGGGTAGATCGCCGAAACAACAGCCCTTGGTCGGGTGAAACCCGAGTCATTCCGGTACGTAGAACTGGCTGTCGTGGGAATGCGTCCACCATGTCAAAAGCCTTGCTGAAATCCGTATAAATTGCATGGACATCTTTGCTGTCGCCCATTGCGCCCAAAGCGTAATTAATATACTGATACAGGTTAGTGGCCGTTGACCTGCCACCAATGAATCCGTGTTGCCTAGTAGTTATAATGTTTTTGAAGGCAAAGGTCATATGGGGCAGTACCATTTTCTCCAGTAGCTTAGTCTGCGACGACTGGATGCATATTGGTCGATAACTACAGACATTCGATCTCAGGCCGGATTTATGAATAGGGCTAATATAAGCTACCTTCCAGGCAGAGGGGAAGATCCCTGTTTGAAGGGATTTGCAGAAGATGTGACATATTGGTTCGCAAAGGCTAAAAGCACAGTTTGTCAAAAACACGTTTGGCAACCCATCTGGACCTGTTAGTTTTAAGAGCTGTGTAAAAGACATCGTTATAGCAGGTGTCAAAGTTGTTTAAATCAGCGTCACTTCCTGTCAGATATGATGTATCTATGCCAATATTACCCGGCCATGGACGGTGGGTATATATACTTTTGAAATACGAAGCAAATAGGTTACTTACTTCTTCATTACTTGCTGACGTAGTTTCCCATGTTACAGTTGTTGGAATATCAATGCAATTTCGCCGTTTATTTTTAATATAGCACCAGAACTTGTTTGCATCTGTGTTGATACTGTTTTCCACCCTAGCGACGTTATTTCTTATAACAGGCTGCACTGATGGTTTTACATTCTAGCCGTAGAGCACGAAACTTGCTGTAACTATCGCTTGAGTTATTTTTCTTGTAAGAAGCGTGAGCTGCCTTTTTAAGTTTAATTTTTGTTATTAATTGCTTAGTAAACCAGATAGGGAATTCATTGTTTCTCCTACGAACTACTGGAACAAACCGCGCGATACCTTCAAAGACTAGTGCATAAAATAGGTTAACTTTTTCATCGATCGTATTAAGCTTGTAAAGGTCTATCCAGTTTATGTTTGAGAAGAAATGATTGAGTCCCGGATAGGCAGCTTGTTTAAATAAATATGTTTTGGGGGTGGTCACCTTCAGATTTGATTGGAAATGAACGTTCACACTTAAGGCAGGGTGGTATCCGTCCTCAGTGACAACAGGATCAGTTTTTTCAACCGTTACTTCGATGTTGCTGAAACAAAGATCCAATAACTGGCATTTGGAATTTGGCACTTTGTTAGCTTGTTGACATCCACTAAGAATATATTCTGTGTGGGTGAAAATTTCACAATTTTCAGGGCGCGAGCTACTAGGAAAGTTATAATCGCCAATGATTAGTAGTTTACAATTCGCGTTCGTTGCACTGATATAAGACACTGTTTCCAAGTGGGCTTTGTACGTCTCCGGTTGTGAATAAGGTGGGATATATACTAACCATGGGTAATTGCGCAATTTTTTTGGCGCTAGCTCAATAACGCCAGCGCCACCTGTGGTGTCAGCGCACTAACCCAGCGCAATAGCGCAGTGTATTGAATTGAACACGGCGCCATCTGAGTGTCACCACACTACCCATCGTCATACAGTGCAGTACACCATACAGTGGTGTCATGTCTATTATTTCTATAAGCGCTGAGCAACGCTTGTCCCGCCAACTGAATGTAATTGCTAGGAATGTAGTAAATGCCACGATATTCTATCATTCTTGAGTAAAAGCTTTAAATTTGCGTTCTCAACACTCAAATGCAAAAACAAAGTACGTGTAACTTTTCAAAGAGTTAAGGCGAATTGTGTGTGTGCCTCTTATGTTGCTTGGTGTTAATGGCGCTGGCGCTTTCCATTTACTGGTGTTGGCACGTCAACTCCGGCTATGGTGTTAACGCAATTGCGCCACGCAGCGCAGTGTTACCCATGCCTAATATATACACATCCTATGATTAGGTCACATTTTAGACTCCTGATTTTTACTAGCACTTGCTCTATGTGATCGTGGTTTGTTGCTACCAGTTCAGCACGGATACCCCTCTTGACTGCTACGAATACACCTCCACCACGGTCGTAGCTGCTTGTTAGTTGATCCCATGGTGAAATGAACTGAAGGTGGCGCATTCCCGAAACCGCTACTTTGGTTTTGCCGACTTTGACATTTATGGCAATACGTAAACAAACTTTTTGTTTAGAAACAATG